TGAACCGGGAGCCCGGAGGTGAACCGGGAATGAACGGCCAGGGGATGCTCCGGGAGGCGGGGGGGAACCAGGAGACCGGGAGTGAACCGGGAGGCAGAGGGTGAACCGGGAATGAACGGTCGGGGGCGAACCGGGAGCCTGGGGGTGAACCGGGAGGCGGGGGTGAACCGGGAGCCCGGGGGGAACCGGGAATGAGCAGCCGGGGGATGAACCGGGAGCCCGGAAATGAACCGGGAGCCGAGGGATGAAGCGGGAATTAACGGCATGGGATGAACCGGGAATGAGCGGCCGGGGATGCTAAGGGAGCCCGGGAATGAACCGGGAGCCGCTCCGGGAGCCAGGGGAGGAACCGGGAGCCGGGGGAGGAACCGGGAGCCGGGGGAGGAACCGGGAGGATGCCCCGGGAGCCGCGGGGATATTCTGGGATTGAGGGGATGCTCAAGGATCGGGATACCGGGGGATGCAGAATTAGGGAAAACAGGGAATTCGGGGATTGGGAACATGGGGAATTCAGGGATGCAGGAATTAGGGAAAATGGGGAAATCAGGGATTGGGAAAAGGGGGAATTCGGGGATTGGAAAAGGGGGAATTCAGGGATGGGGAAAAGGGGGAATTCGGGGATGGGGAAAAGGGGGAATTTGGGGATTGGGAAAAGGGGGAATTTGGGGATTGGGAAAAGGGGGAATTCGGGGATTGGGAAAAGGGGGGATTCAGGGATGAGGAAAAGGGGGAATTCAGGGATGGGGAAAAGGGGGAATTTGGGGATGGGGAAAAGGGGGAATTCAGGGATGGGGAAAAGGGGGAATTCGGGGATGGGAAAAGGGGGAATTTGGGGATTGGGAAAAGGGGGAATTTGGGGATGAGGAAAAGGGGGAATTCGGGGATGGGAAAAGGGGGAATCTGGGGATGGGGGATGCCGGGCAGGGGCTCCTCACTTGTAGAGGCTCCGTCCCCCGATGGTCTCGAGGTTGGAGAAGACGCTGAAGTTGTTCATGTGCTTGGGCCAGGACTGGATGTTCAGGTAGCCTGGGGGGACACCGAGGGCTCAGGGGGTCCCGGGGGGTCTCGGGGGTCCCGGGGGTCTCGGGGAGGCTCCGGGGGGGTCCCAGCACCCCCAGCCCCGCTGCTCACCCGTGATCTCCCGCACCGTCCGGAACACGTTCAGCTTCTCCGGGTCCAGCGCCGAGATGTTGCGCCAGGGGTCCCTGCGGGGCCGGGGGGGTCAGCGGGGCTGGGGAGGGGGGCTGCACCCCCTAAAGCCCCCCCACGAGCCCCCCAAATTCCACCCCTCACCCCTCCAGGCCCGTGATGAGGAAGTCGAGGTTGCCCAGGATCTTGGTGCAGTTGATGAAGGTGTCGATGTTGCTGGAGTCCACCGTTTGGTACTTGCTGCCGGCGCCGGTGCCCTCGCAGGCTGCGGGGCGTGGGCAGGGGGTCAGGGGGGGTCTCACCACCCCCAGACCCCCCATGGGGGACCCCAAAACTGCCCCCGTACCCTTGGGGCACAGCCCCGCGCAGGGCTCGCAGATCTTCAGCCCGTTCTTCTCCACCTCCATCTTGTCGTTGGGGCAGGCGCGCACGCACGAGCTCTGGTCCACCACGAAGTTGTCTGGGGGGACGCCTCGGGGGTCGCTCGGTGTCCCCCCCACCCCAGGGCCGCCCCCAGAACCCCCCCGAGACCCCCCGAAACTCACGGGGGCACTGCCGCACGCAGACCCCCCCGTACTGGTACTTGGTGTCGGGGTTGGGCTCCAGCTGGAAGGTCAGCTTGTTGTAGATGAGCGGCTGCGGGCACAGCGGCACGCACGAGCCGCTGTCGTTGAAGTGGCGGCAGGCCTGCGGACGGACAGACGGACA